TTCTCCCGTGCTGCTGGTGGTGATCTGAGGTCTGTTTGTGGAGGTCTTGGGGGCTGACAGGGGGCTGGCAGGGCTGACAGGGGTGGCAGGGCTGACGTGAGGACTGGCAGAAGGGGGCTGGCAGGGCTGACGGGGGCTGGCAGGGCTGACTGGGGCTGGTAGGCTGACTGGGGGCTGGCAGGGCTGACAGGGGGATGCGAGGCTGACGGGGGGCTGGCAGGGCTGACGGGGTGGCGGGGCTGGACAGGGGGCTGGCAGGGCTGATTGGGGACTGGCAGGGCTGACGAGGAACTGGCAGGGGAGGGATGGGAGCTGAGGGAGTGAGGCTTGGGTCAACTGAATGAGGGGGCTGGGAGGGCTAAGTCTGTCTTAATACCTCTTAGTAGGCGTGGATGAGAGGTCTTAATAACTCCTTTGGGGGCTGGAAGGGGCTGAGAGGGAAGGCTGGAAGGGCTATTTGAGAAGGGGAGGGAGCTGAGTTTTAATGTTTCCTGGAAAGTCTGGAAAATTGGATGAGGGAAGTGTTCAATAATTCCCGGATGGAGAGTTGAACGGCAGGTTAGGTTAGGTTAGATTAGGTTAGATTAGGTTAGATTAGAATAGGTTAGATTAGGTTAGGTTAGGTTAAGTTAGGTTTGGTTAGATTAGGTTAGGTTAGAATAGGTTAGATTAGGTTAGGTTAGAATAGGTTAGATTAGGTTAGATTAGGTTAAGTTAGGTTAGGTTAGGTTAGAATAGGTTAGAATAGGTTAAATTAGGTTAGATTAGGTTAGGTTAAGTGTGGTTAAGTTAAGTAGAGTTTGGTTAGGTTAGGTTATTGTAAGACGGTGATATACTGTAGTGATGGTTTAGTTACAAACAGGTACAGTTCTCCAGGACGGTGTTAGGGTCATCTTAAGGAGTTTGAAATAAAACAAAAAAATTGACAGAAACTATTGCCAGTTTTGTGAGTTTCTGGAGGTGTGGATCCTGCTGGTGAGGGGGAGGGAGGGATAGGAGGAGGTGGGGTGAAGGAGGGTGTGGGTGAGGGGGGATAGGAGGAGAATGGGGTAGAGGAAGAGGTGTGGGTGAGGGGGGGATAAGGAGGAGGGAATGGGGTGAGGAGGGGTGTGGGTGGTGTGAAGAGTGGAGTAGAGAGGGGGGAGAGGTGATGGGGAAAAATAAGGTGTGGAGTGAGGGTGAAGACGGGAGGAAATGGGGGGATGGGGTTAGGAGGAGGGGGGATATGGGTGAGGAAGGGGAAGAGTTGATGGTAAAAAGAAGGAAGGGAAGGAGGTGTAGAGGCAAAGGAACAAAAGGGAGATGAAGGGTTATGGGAAAAGGGGAGAAAGGAGATCTCTCTCTGCCTCTCTCTCTCTCTCTCTCTCTCCCCTCTCTCTCTCGCTCTCTCTCTCTCTCTCTCAAAATCAACTTATCCAAACATTTACAATTACGTCCTGTACAAATCCTAAAACCCACATCACTGCTGGAAGGTCTCCTGGAACGTCTTAATCTGGAAGGTCTCCTGGAACGTCTTAACCTGGACGGTCTGGTGGAACGTCTTAATCTGGAATACCGGCTGTGAGGAGCTTACCCGGATCCCTGCTAGTGTCGGGGTCTTAATAGTTTCAGGAGGTACGGCCCTTCACGTGTCTGTGTTGTGAGGTATTTATGTTTCCTTCTCCTCAGGTAAAGATAGACCAGAGGTACAGGTCCGGATAAGCGAGGGGGTGTGTCCGAATAAATAGTGTTGTGTCCGGATAAACGTGGGGTATGTCCGGATAAATGAGGGATATTGTATAAATGAGGGGCTATGGGTCTGGATAAACGACGTGTACATGTCCAGAGAAACGATGGTTACCAGTCCGGATAAATGATAGTTATCTGTCCGGATAAACGAGAGAAGCTAACGAGAGAACAAAGAGTACTTCTGTGTTTTTGTAAATACCGTCTAACAGGATAGTTTGGTGGGCGAGAGTTAACGCCATCAAAGTCAGCCCTATACCGACGTGCTCAACACCAGCGATCTTCCTCACGTGGTTGATGTGGTCTGTGTTGAGGAAGCGTCATGATGGGTTAACTACAGCACCTCCAGAGATGGATGAGATGGATGATGGATGGATGGGTGGGTGGATGGGTGGATGGATGGATGGGTAAAAAAAAGATGGATGGGTGGGTGGTGGGGATGGATGGATGATGGATGGATGGATGATGGATGATGAGGGGGGTGGGTGGGTGGATGGATGATGGATGGATGGGGGATGTGGATGGGTAGGTATGTGGGTGGGTAAATAGATGGATGGGTAGGTAGATGTATGGGTAGTTTATGAGTGGGTAGATGGGTAGGTAAATGAATAAAGTTAGGTCGGTATATTCCGCTTATGATGATTAGGTCGGTATATTTCACCTTATGATGATTAGGTCCGGTATACTTCACCTTATGATGATTAGGTCAAGAGATTAGGCAATTCTAGATATTAGGTCGATATACCTATGATGATTACACACAACAACACCAAAC